CACACAGACACACACATTCACTCACACACACACACCCACTCACACTCACACACACACACACACAGTTTGGCATGTTAACCCTGGAGATCCACACGTCTTTTTTTTTTAGCATGTTATATTGAAAATGACAATGTTGATGCACACATGAGAAATAAACAGTCTTATGAGGAAATATCATTTATTTACTTAATCTTTGCTTTCTATATATATTTTATATATATTCATAACTACATTTGGCAATTTGTCTATAGAAAAAAGCGCAAAAAAATTGAGAAAAAAAATAAACATTTGATTAGTAAAAAAATATCGGCATCGTTAAACAGGTAGGCTAGATAAAAATATTAAAATGACATCTGGACAGATTTCACTATGTCATTTCAACAAAACAGCAGATCTTGGTCTTTGGGGAGCTTGAGGTTAAAGGAAAGCAGGTGTGCTCATATGCACGGAGGTCGTCAGTAGGCAGGATTGATGGGGTGCAGAGGCTGGTAGGATGTATTGATGGCTTGAGTTGGCTGGTTGAAAGCTTGCGGCTGATGGTGAACCGGGTTAACCGCAGGGTTAATGACCACTAGAGAGTGTCGCCGAGCCTTCAGCTCTCTCGCCATCTGACACCAGACGCACACAGTGCAGCAGACCACCGTACAGCAGTCATCCTGTATCGAGCCCTTCATGAAAGACAAAAGAACATCAAATCTAGTCAAACTAAAAAACACGAAACTGAGTAGTCAAAAAGTGGAAGCATTGGCCATTCAAACTTGGGGCAATTTTTGAGCCATGCAACATCTAAAACCTCAATGAATTCAGTTTGTAGTTCTAAATCCGGAAGAGAATGGGAGTTTTTGAGGAATTTCAGTGGGCAAAATAAGGTGTGTGGTTAACATTACTTGAATAGACTTAAATATTTTGTTCTTCAGTGTAACTTAAATACAGTCAAACCTCAAATGTAAATGCTGAATTCAGTGTTTATTTTAAAGTCATGAGTTTCTATATAAGCACCAGAATATTTTTCCAGTTCATAAACACATTGTGGTAGTTGAATTGTGTTTATAAATATATATTTATTTAGTGTTTTAACCTAGGTCCCTATACAAAGCGAAAACTGTACCACTAGAATTTTATTTTATTTTATTATTATAATTACATTTATGGTCATGTTTGTCAAATTAAATTAAATTAAAACTACTGTTCAAAAGTTTGGGATTAATACTTATATTCAGCAATGATGCATTCAATTGATCAAAAGTGAAAAGACTTTTATATTGATAGAAATATTTTCATTTAAAATAAATTCTGTTCATTTGAACTTTCTGTTCATCAAACAATCCTGATAGTGTATGCATTGGGGTTTCCACAAAAATATGAAGCAGCACAGCTGTTTTCAACACTGATGATAAAAATAATAAATGTTTCTTGAGCACCATACCAGCATATTAGAATGATTTCTGAAGGATCATGTGACAATGAAGACTGGAGAGAAGATGCTGAAAATTCAGCTTTGCATCACAGGAATAAATTACATTTTAAAATATATCCCAATAGAAAACAGTTTTTTAAATTGTAATAATTGTATAGTGATGCTGTATTTACCTTAATGTGGAATCTCTCTCTCATGCTGCTCCTCATGGAGAGTGTAATAGGATGCAACATGCCACCAAAGCATATCTCCAGCAGGGGGAGACAGAGACACTCTCCAAATTCCTCACTGGTCTTACACATGAGGCAGAATGGACACCAAAACCCACAGCAACCTGCCACAGGAAAACAGATGACTCACATCAGCTCACATCCTCAAACACAGTTTATTCTTATTATTTCTCACACATACTATATTTCCTGCTGTTCCTCTTTCCCTCTCTACCCCACACTTACAGATGCCCATGTCCTCACAGCAGTCACACACTCCGCTGCTCCACTGGGTTGTCATGTTAGTGGTGCTCACCACCATGGCTGGCTGGAAACTTACAGCTGGATGTGCCATCGTGAACTGACCTGAGAAACACAAGAGATTTGTATTTAATTATAGAGGCATGTGTTTAAATACAGGCACATTTATATTACATGCACATTATTTACTACTACTACTACAAATTATTATTAAACAAAATTAAATTTAATTAGTTGTGAGGGTTCCACTTAACCTGGACATGTTAGATAAAGTGAGGCACTTTTAAAATCTGTTTGGATGAATTAATTTATTTGAGTTATCACCGCATAAACCCTGTCAAACAACATTGTTTTTTACATTCTTGTTGTGCTACAAACATAAAATCACGTCATATGACAAAACACATTGAGATTACATTGGATATTTGAGAGTAAAAAGCTTTTATCTGTGAATCTACCCAAAGCATGCACAGCTCGGCCCATCTAAAATCAAGCATTTACTGTGGTCATTTTTATCCTTCGAGCCTTTCTGAGTCAGTTGTATCTTTTGCAAGCAAACGTCTAGATTGAGGTCTAATGAACTTCCTGAGTTGGAAAGAGAGGTTTTACATTGCATCACTTTAAAAAAAAAAAAAAGCAAAAAAAGCAAAAAAGACAGCTACAAGAGTCTGCCATGATCTAATATCTCCATTACAATCAGAGATCGCAGTGAAACCTGATCTGGTCTGAAAAAGAAGAATCCCTTCCCCACCTGCAGGGCCGGTCCCATCCCACACCCCAGCACAGAGAAACACAATGCAAACTTCCACACCTTTTACTGCACTAAAGAGCATCAGAGAATAAACAGAGGAAACGGAAGAAGAGATGGAAATAATGGAGCAGTATGGTTGCCAATGACCACAGAACAATATGAAACGAAAGCATACAAGTGAAGTCAGAGAACTGGTTTTCATATTTTCCCCCTCATTTTACTTGTAAATTGCCTCTGGCATCTTGTTTCATGGATGGAAAAAAATTCAGTGTAATGCATTTGACAGTGTGGTTAATGGTGGAAAAGAATACTATAGAAGATTGCAAGAAAATTATTTTTCAAATCTGAAGAGGTGCTCCTATCATTTACAACGAAAAATGTGCCCTCTCTGGACAGGCTTGAGAATTTGAGAAACAAAACACAAATGTACTTTTCTAGACAAATTTGTTGCTGTGCCACCACTATTTAAAAAAATAACAACCATAAATGATCTGAAAAACAATCTAATAAAAAAAGTCAGATCAGATCTAGGAAAAGTACAGAAATGAAATACTGCCGAAAGCAACTGATGCATATTATTTACGCAAGTCTAGAAAGCGGTGTACTTGCCTGAAGCCTGCTCTTCTGAGGGTGTGGAGTCGTGTGTGTCGATGCACTGCTGTTCACAGGGGGGAGGAACGGAAAAAAAACCATCGTTCTAGGTGGAGCACCAGTCTGCGTGACCACAGGTAGGTACAACAGAGATGAAGACGTCACTGCTTACACAGTAAGTCACACAACCCCAACCCTGCACTATATCAATGCAGATGAAAAATAGAAAAGCAGGTGCATTTCTATTGTGATTAAGGAGGTAAAGACAATCACTGGATTTCATTATTCATATTTGTCATTTTAGTATCCTTGAGATACCATTACACTTTGATTCAAGTTTTTTTTCCTTCATATTTTCAATTTCCATTTTAGTTAAAGTTTTAGTAATTTTTATTATTATTTTTTGTCATTTTTAGTATATATGTATATACACATACAGCGGGTAAAATAAGTATTGAACACATCACCATTTTTCTCAGTAAATATATTTCTAAAGGTGCTGTTGACATGACATTTTCACCAGATGTCGGTAACAACCCAAGTAATACAAAGAAAACAATACAAATAAGTTCAGAAATTAAGTTCTGTATAATAAAATGGAATGACCCAGGGAAAAAGTGTTGAACACGCTTACTGAAATGTATTTAATACTTCGTACAAAAGCCTTTGTTGGTAATGACAGCTTGAAGACACCTCCTGTGTGGAGAAACTAGTGGCATGCATTGCTCAGGTGGGATTTTGGCCCATTCTTCCACACAAACAGGTTCCATGGGCCTCTTCTATGAACTCTAATCTTTAGTTCTTTCCATAGATTTTCTATTGGATTCAAGTCAGTCAAGAATATCTTGGTACATTTTTCCATTCATCCTGCCTTCAATTATATGAATTTTGCCAGTGCTACACCATGATGTTTTGGGGTGATGTGTATTATGAACCTCCAAACGTGTATTAAGGCATCCAAAGAGTAAAATTTTGGTTTAATCGTACCATACTATATTCTCCCAGTATTTCACAGGCTTGTCTAAATGTTGTGCAGCAAACTTTAAACGAGCTTCAACATGCTTTTTCTTCAGCAATAGAGTCTTGCGTGGTGAGCGTGCACACAGGCCACGGCGGTTGAATGCATTACATATTGTACTTATTATTTTCTTTGAAACAATTGTACATGCTAATTCCTGGTCTTTCTGAAGCTCTCCACAAGTGATCCTTGGCTCTTGGACAACTCTTCTGATAATTCTTTTCACTCCTCTGTCAGAAATCTTGCGAGGAGCACCTGGTCGTGGCCGGTTTATGGTGAAATTATGTTCTTTCCACTTCTGGATTATGGCCCCAACAGTGCTCACTGGAACATTCAGAAGTATAGAAATCCTTCTGTAACCAATGCCATCAGTATGTTTTGCAACAATAAGGTTGCGATGCCAATCCCTCCGAGAGTTGTCATGACAGAAATATATTTACGGAGAAAAATGGTGATGTGTTCAATACTTATTTTACCCACTGTATACACACACACACACACACTAAATTAAACCAATTAAAGTATTTATTTCAGCTAGTTTTCACATTTTAAACTAAATTAAAATGAGAAAACTAACTGAAATAAATGTTTTTAAATATTTTATTTAAAGTAACAAAAAAGCTTTTTAATGGTCTTAGTTTCAATTTTAGTTCACTGTAATAACCCTGTTATAAACCACTTCTAAAAAGTGGCATTTATAAAAGGTGGTATGATAATATTAATATACCTTTACAAAGTCTTATTTGTGCAGTAACCCTTATGATGTAACATCCTGGAACAAAACCGGTCTGTTAGCACTGAGCAGAATAAAGCTTTGCTAAATGCAAAACGTAAACACTGCAATGTGCTTAGTGATGAATCGGTAAACATACATACATACATACATTAAGCTCTGGTAACAAAATGCATTTTCATTTGAAGGTCTTATTTGCTGTGACATCTGAACCTGGGATCAGGTTCTAAACTTCTATCATGCTTTTTAGTATTTATAAACAAAAGCAAACACAACCAGTATTACAGTGCAGTGTTGACCTATCAACCCTGTAAAACAAATTCTGCAGTCAGCCTCTTTATAAAGTTAAGCAATCCAAAAAATGTGATGATTTGAGAGCGTAGAATGTATGAGGCACTCCCACACGAGCCTCATAGTTTGTCTCGATCATATTGATGAAATAGCCAATTTTATTTAGCAGCGGTAAGCAAAACATGATTTCCCTATGTTGGTAATAAAGGAGCAAAAATACATAGGAGCCTGACTTCAATGTTTTGTTTGTGGTAAGAAAGTATTACCTAACAAAAAATTAACCTAGCATTAAAAACCAGGTAGTTTCAAACAACCAAAACACTATACTCAACATTTAGTGCAGATCCCTGTTAACGATTTTTACGCTACTACAAAAAAAAAAAAGAAAAGAAAAATTACACCCAATACACTCCACCCAAAAATGCAAATTCTCTCATTTACTCACCCTCATGCTCTCAGATGTATTTGACTCTCTTCTGTGAAAAATAAGAGGCTTTCCATCTCCGAGTTAAATGAAGTGGATGGGCCCCTAAAAAGTCAATGCTTCAAAAACCACACAAAATGAACATGATAATAATCCCTACAACCCCAATTAATGACTCGATGCCTCAGAGATGGATTATTTTTTTTAAACATTTCAGTTTGTCTACCAAAACAGACAGCCAAATACATCGGAGATGGAATGAGGGCGAGTAAACGATGAGAACGTTTACATTTTTGGGTGGAGCATCCCTTTAATATAATATCTAGTTTAACCTTCCGAGTTTGACTATTACGTTCTCTTACTTAAAATTTACTAGGAAAAATACTAGTTTTTTTTTTTTTTTAATACTATAGAGTTTCAGATCCTGTTCTGCACCCAATTCATACAAAATGCACAAACTGAAACCAGACTGAAGAGAAGAAACCAAACCGCACACAGGTGTCATTCCAGAAATAATTTATTTCACTTCCATTTGAATCTTTTTTGTTGTTTTTTTTAATGATGTGGAAAGAACCAAAAAAAAAAAAAGTGATATTTGAGAGCAGGAACCAAGACGTCAGTAACAAAGTGAGGGAACGCTCCCTCCCCTTTAACCATGACAACCAGGGACACGACAAACGCTCCATCACCTTCTCTGCCACAGCATCAGATCTCCCAGCAGAGACAGAAGAGGCCAAAACTCCATTTGACCAAACTGCAGTGTAATGCTCTCAGATGTACATGTGTGTGTGTGTACGAATGCATCTGTCTCCGTGTTTCTGGCTTTATCTTAATAAGGTTTCACTGTGCCTTCTAGACCATCAAAATCAATCATCCACACCAGAGGGTCACCAATCCCCTCCTGCCTTTCCTTTAGTTGTGGGCCGGAAGCTATCGAGTGTGTGCGCGCCACTTTCCACGCTCATATTCATCCCGCCTTCCTTCCACATACAGCGAGGAAAGAGATGCTGAAATACTGAAGATTATCAACACTCTGAACCGGTCAGTTCATTAACGTCTCTCTCTAGCTCTGCCTGCCGACACTTGTGCCGCTTTCCGCCCTGAAGAGACAGAATCCATTCGGGATTCTTCTGGGTTGTCTCTTGGATCATGTATCGTTCCTCCCAATTTATATGCTCTTACTGCATGTCTCGCCAACAATACATGTACAAACAGACACACACTCGTACACACACAGATTAAACGCCTTTCAGATAATGACTTGACCTTGGACAAACGTCCTAATTTCATGTTTGGCATTAATTGTCTGTCCCCACCCCCCCCCTCCCTAATCCTAACCCCTCTTAATCCTCAGACAAAATAAAAACACCATAAACAGGAACCATCTACTTCATCCCATGAACAACACAAATATTAAGAAAAAAAGAAAATACTCAAGTTTTTTCAAATTCAAGGCACAATGTCTCTGTTTCCCCCTTTTGCCCTTAAATTCAGAGTGCCACAGACTTAACTGTCAATCACTCACGAGAGGCTCCGCCTTCAACCCATCGCCTCTCTGCTAGCCCCGCCCTCCTTTAGCTAACACTGTTTAAGAGATGCGTCTGTTTGGGAGTGTTTCACAATCCCACACCAGTGAGTACAAACAATCAAAAACAAACAATGACAACAGCGAAAAGAAAAAAAAACAAAACTTAAAATAAAACCCAAAAAGTCACGTCCTGTATTCTGTGTTAGGTCAGAAATTTGAGTCATATCCATCAGCTCATTTTTGGCAAGCTTGTCTTAAATAAGCACTAAGTACTGATAGATAGGATAAACATACACCGTTATGTGTGGTTTAAAAGTAGATGCGTTCGTCATTTTTTTTTTTGTATCATTTTCTTCTCATAGACTTCAAGGATTTTAGTCGATTTTCATTCGTCAGTTTAAAGGTTTACGTGAATGCAAGCAGGGACAGAGTTCACCATGGTGTCTTGCTTTAGACATGGGTCTTGAGGGGGCGAGATGACTTTTTACGAGACGCCATTCACCAGGGCTAGAGCCTCCCCGGGCGATGCCACGCCATTGCTAGGGGAGCGCTTAGAAGGAGCGCACTCTTCCTTACTCATGCTAGTCCCGTTTTCCTGAAGAACAGAGAATTAAACGCAGTTTAAAGCATTGTTCTGAACCTAAACCTCATGCAACTTTTGATGAAAACTAGGGATGCACCGATACCACTTTTTCCAGTACTCGCCTGATACCGATACTTTTATTTTTGGTAATACTTGAGTTATGATTTATTCAGTTAGGGCTGCATGATTAATTTAAATAAATTGAAAATGCAATATTGGTACAATATTGCAATTATCAATTTGCAAATGTTGTGATTTAACTATTATTATTTATTTCTTTATTATATATATATATATATATTTTTAAAATACTCATTTTTATTTTACAGTAAAATACTAATATATGCAATTCCTTTTATAATATTAATAAATACAAAATATTTTAATATTAATATTAAGCAGAACGATAACAACAACCATAAAAAAGCTAATTATTATTATTTCATAGTCTCATTGATATATACCGTATTGACCCGAATATAAGACGATGTTTTTTTCTTGGAAATACATCTGAAAAAACGTGGTCGTCTTATATTCAGGGTCTAGACTTTGACATGTCAATAATACACCCACAACAATAGCTGGAGCCAAATACGCATAAAACGAGTGTGCCATGAA